CAACAGGGAATTCCCGGGCACCACTCTGCGTTTGCTTTTCAAACACAGCTGGAACGCCAGACTTCCGTGGCTCCTTGGCTTTTCCTGGGCAGCCAGGCTCCTTCCCCTCACTCTCCGCAACCTTTCGCACTTCCCTCTCCAGTCACACTGTGTCTCCTGCCACTTCTCACTGCCTGTTTCCACAACGTCCCTCACATCTGCTCAGATGTCCTGTTTTTTAATTTCCTCCTTCTCTTCATGTATGTTCCCTCATACTTTGTGCCCCTGTTTTTCTCGGTCCTGGCTAGGTACAGTCAGTAAGTACAGAAAATATAGTCCCTGAGTTATTTACTCTTTTTCTGTATCCCTGCGCAAACAATTCTACGCTGAATCTTTTCTTAGTACCTGCTTTCCTTTATTTGACGTGACATCCCTAACTGTGCTGAATAAGCTCTTACCACAGTTAAACTTCCTGATGCAGGGTGGGATTAATCTCCACCACCTTCAGATGCACAAAGCTGTATTTCTGATGTCCTTCCAAAGCCAGCCGTGGTGAGCTCAGGGATCTTTGTCTCCACACGAGCGCCCCAGCCCTGGCCTTTTCCTGAGCTCCGGGCTGGGCTGTGTCTGGGTGTGTGGGCTGGAGCTGGGCACTCGCCAGGGGAGGGCGTTTGTACGGGTAAGCGAGCTGGGGAGAATACAGTGAGGTGACGGGCATGGAATTGGGACACATTGTGTAGGGTCAGCTTTGGCACAGGATCCAAAAACAGCTGCGTTTCCCTGATAGCTTTATCCGAGTGTAGCTAACACCCAGGTGATTCAGCTATTGCTTGGCTCACCACAGCACAGGGATTTAGGAATGCAAGTGGCGGTGCAGCCACTCCACTCCACTGATTCTCCTATTTTGGGAGAATCACCCCAGGAATTTAATCTAACCTTACTTTCGTACAAAGTATTAAGGAGAAAGTTTACAGGGAAAATACGCTGACAAGAATGAGTGAGTCTTCAGGTGTCTCTGATAGAACAAATTTTTTTCAAGAATAGTTGAAGGAGAAAAGGGATATCTTACTTTAGGAACAGAAATTTCTTCATGTCTACATAGGTAATTTATTGTGATCCTTTCTTTTAAAGATGTACAAATGCAAAAGCAAACTGCATCTCACGCCTTAGCCTGCCCTGCTTGCCTTTGCCTGTTTTTTCTAATATTTAAACAGCAATATCCATTCTCTCCCACCAGCCTCCTATGTGATCACTGATCAAACAGAGCTACGGAAAATCAAGTGCATGGAGAAGACAGGGATCAGCATCACGAGGGAGCTCATGTGGTGGTGGGGAGTGAGGCTGGCGACAGTGCAGCAGCTCCTGGACCTGCTGCAAGGGCTGCAGCTTTACCGAGCAGCTCAGGTCATCCTGGACTGTGAGTAGCTGCCCCTTCCTCCCACGGCTCTGTGCTGCTCCCCACAGCCCCCTGGCCCTCCTAGGATGTCCTCCTTGCTAGCTGAAGAAACTTCTTGTTAGAAGTCGCATCCTGTGTCAAATTCTACAGTGTCTCCACTGACTGTGATTCCCTGCTCACTCGAGTAGGAGTGGTGGCGTGAGGGAAGAGGTGACACGGGTGGACTCCCGGCTCCCCACAGCTCATCACCCCATCTTTGTGGTGCCATCTTGGACCCTTCCAGAAGGGCCAGGAGGATGGGCTGAGGCCAAACCAGGGCTGGTGCTTTTATACACCAGACAGGATTTCAGAGCACAGAGGCTGCACAGAGTCCCTGCCCTTCAGGCCTGGTCCTGTGTCAGCGGTCCTTACATGACTACAGTTCAATTCATTCCTACTTAAAGGAATCAGACACAGCACAAAGGGAGATCTTTTGCTGGCAGATTACTTCCCAAAGAGTTCTACATCCATTCAACAGTTTTTTGCACTCTCTAGTCCCACTTCTGAATGCCCATAATGATGTTATCTATGACAGTTCCTTAGCTGCAGTGCTGCCTTGTTTGTCTGACATGCAGGAAGTTGCAAAAGTCATAAAAAACCCTGAAAAGTAGGTTGAATAAGGGAAGTAATGCTAAGTTCTGAGACTTCTAGGTTAAACCATGTGAGGGAAAAAACAGAATACAGGTACTTGCCTGCAGAATGAAGGGGCTGTCAGGTTTGACTAAGGGCCTGCAGACTGTTTGACAGCTAATCCTAAAACCCTGTAAAATTTGGGATTTCATAGCATTCTAAGACAGTAGCAAAAATACCTGAGTGTTGTGAGTTTTAGTTTTCAGACCTGGTTTCATTCAGAGCGGAGTTCATAGGTGGCATTGAAGGGAACAAATGGAAACCTCAAAGAGAGCGTGCCCATTTCTGCCATTATGGCTCTTCAGGCCCTGCTGTTCTTCAGCCTCAGAGCCTGGTCGTGCTTGGCTTCTCTCCCACAGTTCATACCAGTAGCCCAGATTACACAACAAACACTGGGCTTCCTGCTTGTTCCAGGTACTCCTGGCCCTGGTTTGTACGAGTGAAATAGCACAAAGCTGTTGTCTGTTTTCACATGCAAACAGGCCTGGCACATTTGATTCTGAGATCACCAAAGCTCTTAGAACAGCAGGATAAGAACCACCATGTAATAATATTTGGGCTTATGTTTTTTTCTGTATAATGTATAAAACATTAATTTGGATTTTTTAAGAGAATGTTAAATGTATTGCTGATAAAAGGTGCCATATAAAAGTTTAAAACTACAGCCAGGAGAAAGCCCTTATATCACCCCTAGTGCACACTGGGCATTTTCAGGCTCCTTTTCAACCTCAGTTTTAAGAGCATTTTAAGAGATAAGAATTCACCTGCTTTGGAGATTTTGACAACCTCATATATCACAGCATCCTGAACTTTTGTACTGTATTTCTTCCCATCCTAACTGTAGCCTAATCTCATCTGAATAATCCCCCCTCAGGTGTACATAGTTTTAAGTTCCTGTACACTGTATCTTTGCACTTTAGTCAGACTTCAAGTTGCTTTTTCAGGCCTGACTCTGAGGTTTTGCCAAACTGTGTACAGCACAGGATCTGTTAGAGCTGTAGTGAATCAATAATTCATCCTATAAACTTTCCTTATATATCAATAAGTTTTGAGCTTTGACCATTTTTTGTTTTCCCTAGATTGTCTTTGGTTTGCTTTTTTCTGTTGCTAAGTAAAAGTATGAGTTTTTCTTAGTATTTCTTGCAAATAGTCCTGTAGAGGAAAGTTTTTCCTGGGAATGAACCTAGGATGGCACTAAAATCACACAATTGAAAACAGTCCTAAAATATTTAACTGGCTAAACCCAAGACAATTCTGTCCATCCTCCCCTCAGTCCTATGACAACTGCAGAGAACTCAATGCCTCTTAGGCTGGGAGGTATTTGTGATTTGAGATCATTACCTGAAGGATGTTTTATAAAAAATGATAACCATATCATTATTGCTAATTTCTTCTTATAAGAGTCTCTGCATCTCTGGAATAGTCATTGCTGGTATTTATTTGAAGCAATTAGTTCCTGTTAATTTTAAGTAAAAGTTAATGTCATGGGTATAGTCTCAATGTTAATTTGAAGTCTGATGTCCTGATTAGGATTGTTTTGTGGTCACTGATTAGAGTCAGACTCTGTTTTCTCTGGTTATCTTTATCTTCGCGTTGCTCTGTTTTGAAGGGACATCAGCCTCTAGCATCACCAGCCCTGAGAAAGAAGAGCCAGAGCCACCCAAACAGATCATGTCTGTCCCTCCCACAGAAGGCAAAAGGAGAGACAAAGAAAATGCCCTAAGTTTGTTGCCATGCCCAGACTCCTCACACCTGGGAGCAGTGCCATCAGGCAGTAAGTACAGTGCTGGACTCTGGATTCGCTCTGACACGAAGTGACTGCATCGCTAAGGCTGCTGTGTGTCTGCAGTCAGGACAGTACAGTGAAGACCTTGTCTCCAGATGGGCACAGCTGAGTGCTTGCTGTTGTCCTAGCACTGCTGTCTCCTGTTTATTCCTGACTTCAGCACACAGCTCCCTGGTCATCCTTCCTTTGGCCCCCTTGGCCTGAGAGATGCTGGCTGTCTCTGTGCTCTGGGGTGTCAGGATGATTCCCAGGTCTCTGAATGCCTTGATCCCATCGTGGCTCCACACAAAGACTGCACCAGGCATGCATGTCCTGCCCCATATCCCTCTCTTCATGCACAGTAACCCCAGGCCAGCAGAGGGCCGGGCAGGGCTCAGCAGCCCCTCTGCTGGGAGAGGGAAGGGAGAAGCCCAGGCCGTGCTGGGGCGAGCATCTGCAGCAGCACAGCACAGCACAGCACAGCACAGCACAGCACAGCACAGCGAGTTCCATGTCCCCAGCAGGGCTGGAGAGGGCTGCACAGTCATCCTGCAAACAAGGACCTGGAAGAGAGCTCCCTGTCTTCACACAGAATTTCACAGTTTGACAGTTTGTCACAGATTATCTTTGGTCAGAAGGTTGAAAAAAAAATACCCCAGATCTTCACAATTCTTAGACCTTTGTCCTTAGTCACAGGTGGTGGTATCACAAAACTAAGGTGTGTTTTCAATGCTGTTATCTCAGTTTCAGGTGCTGCTTCTGAAGGAGCCTTGTATTCCCTCCCTGCTCCACCACCTCCCCCGAGAGAGCTTTTGAATTCCCTACAGTCCAATCCTCCTGTTTTATCGAGTGTGAAGGTAAATCCCCTTCGTGCTCTCTGATTATACAAGGAAAATTGCCTTTATGACATTCTGTCTTTTTTCAGTTAAAGTTATCCCTCTACTTGTACAAAAATGTTGCTGTAGTGGAAACGTTGAGCTCAATACCAAGGGTTTGGACTGGATACAGTACTAATGCTTCAGTTAGACTGCTTGTGGTTATATCACTTTTTTTGCCAGTGAAGGACCAGTGAGGGAAAAATTTACAGTATTATTTCCCGCATAACTCAGAAGGGATAGCATACCCACAAATAGCAACTGAGTTTGAAGGACTCTCACATGTAGATATTACAGAAGACTTACATTTCTGGTGCAGTAGCAGGACAGGACAGTATATACCACTGATTAGTCAGAACCACATAACTTGTTTAGTTTCATTGTACACTTAAAATGTGGTTTCTGCTCGAAACTGGGCTAGTATTGAATTTAGTCATGGTGTTCAAAGCCTTGTGTAGCTGACAACTGAAAATCTCCCAAGATAAAGGTTCCATCACCTCTCTGAGCCCCTGTTCAGCTGCTTAACCATCACAGTGGGAAAAATTCTCCTCATGTTCCAGATGATTTCAGCGTGAAGTGTCCTGTTCCTTCCTCCCCACAGTTCTCTCATCTTTCATAGAGTCTAACTACATCTGTCCTGTCCCCAAAGTGTTTCCCAGATCTGTGGACACACCTTAGTCCCATCATGGTTGTTCTTGGACTGTTTTCTTTGGTTTATTTTGTCTGAGGCTTTAAACTCTTCCACAGTAACATGGTCCAGGACTACCAGCCAGAAGGGAAGACTGACTCAGAGTGCAAGTAGTTTCAGAGTTTCTTGAGAAGAAGTTAGTGCTTTATTTCCTCAAGTTGGGTGCACATTAAGGTTGTGAAAGCTTCACGATTAGGCTCCAGCAGGACTGTAATTATACTTGGTATTAGGACTTGCCACACTGGATGCAACGAATTATTGTGCAACTTACATCAGATGCTTCAAAAGTAGATATGAGGTTTACCAGAGCATAATTACATTATGAGGGACCCCACTTTCTCATCCAGCTGTTTCTTAATATGTAACCCAGCTATAAAGATTAAGATCTTTTGTAAATCAGACTAACATCACTTCACATGAATATATGGACTTTTAAACAAAACTAAGTCTGTTTCCTGGGAAAGGTGGAAGTGCAGGATTGGTAACTGATTTCATTTCTACTGTGCAAAAGTTTTACTCATCCCAACACATGAATACAGGAGTTACCTACACCCTAAGGAGTGATTGCATAGTGCCTTTCACAGTTTCATTCAGCAATCACAATGATTGCTTAAAACGTGGGAAGGAAAATATGACCCTGAAAGAGGGAAAAAGCATATGAATTATCATGAGATAAACTTGTTTCTCCTACACATGTGCAGCCCTGCAGCTCCTCTGCTCCTCAGCAGGAGACGATGGCTGACCTCCCTAGCGGGAGTCTCCTGTGGACCCAGAGGGAAATTGCCAATGCCACCAACAGCTTCAGTGACAAGAACAGAATCTGTGAAGGCACTTTCGCAGATGTCTACAAAGGTCAGAGGAACAACATGGTGTTTGTCATCAAAAGACTCAAAGAGGCAAGTACTGCACCTTTTTGTAGAGGAGGGTGTGTTATTAGCATGACATTGCAGGTGTCAATTAGCAGGTGTTGTCTAATATTGTGTGGGAAGGAACCAGAATAACTACACAAGAGGGGAAATAAAAATGAAGTTATGTAAATAATTAAACCTAAATTCAGAAAACACACTTTGATGAATACTTTACTCATGTGAGTAGTTCCATTAACTCTATAGATAGGAGTAGCCTACAGTATAGCTGCCTGCATTGATGATTGGATCGGGGGTGTCTTTACACAAGTTTTTGTTCTAATTGCCAATAATTGTTGGCTTTGACTCAATGTTGCCATGGGTGGTACTTGCCTGTTTCCTGCACTAGCTTGTCATCTAGAGACTACCATATCTGTATAAATGCAAAGTCCTAGTAATTTCCAATGACATTCTCTTGCATGTTTTCATTTTTCAGCTGGAATGCACGAGCCCAGATTCCACCCAGAGGTTCTTTCATACAGAGGTGCAGATTTGCTTTCGGTGAGTGGTGCCTGTCCTGCTCGTGGCCTGGTGCTGGGTGTTAAACACGGGGCGTGTGCTCCAGGCACTGTGCGGGCTTGTGCTGTCTGTGTGGGAGCCCTGGGCAAGCAGCACAGTGCCCGGGGTCCTGCTGGTCCTGGCTGGCACAGCCTTGGGCTGGGGAGGACACAGTGCCCACCCTGGAGCCCTGCTGCAATGAGATGGGCTCTTGCTCAGTCAGCCTCCTCATCTGCTGCCCAGACCGTGCTGTGCCTCCAGCCGTGCCTCCAGCTGTGCCTCCAGCTGTGCCTCCAGCTGTGCCTCCAGC